TGGCTCTGCCTCCCGAGTGCTGAGATTAAAGGCGTGTGCCACCACCGCCCGGCATGACAGGGTATTCTTAAGGAGAGAGGGATGAGATATTAGATAGAAGGATAGATTGGAGAGAAACAGATAGAAACACAGGATAATCTTGGGAGGGCCTGGATCAATATCCACTGGCTCCTTCTGTCTCTTTTAAAGGGATATTTGTAGGAATGTCAAGGGGTGAAGCAAAAGACCTCCCCCTAGCTCAATCAAGGGCAGACCATTTCAATCACCTAGTGACCATGCACATGGTCAAGCAATCCTCTAATGCAGGATAAAGCAAGCTCAGACATTACTAGGAAACCTTTGTGGTCCTCCACAGTGCCCCCTTCTAGGTATAATAAAGCCCCTCCACCTCCCTTCAGATAGACTGTGCCTGTCTTAGGTTGTCCTTCTTAATTGATCTTTCTTACCCATCATGGAGACATACTTTGCATGAAGCATACTCATAGCTATCAAGAAGAAAGTTGTTCATCTTTGGCTACAAGCCTCTTGCAGGAGGAGGTACAGAGCTTAACTCAACTCTGACCTAGGTCCTTATGAAGAGCTTGTAAACATCGACAGCAATCTTTGTAGCTGCCACACCTCCCAGTAAAGGAGTAGAGGGTAATAAAGATGGAATATCCTGATTAGAATGGATCTACGGTGATTACAGCTGTCTTAGCTGCACCAACCCATATTCTAAATCAAAACTCTATCCTAACAGATGTTCTATAAAATTTTCAAGAGACTATTTTGATTCCCGGGAGAAAGAAGCCATTTCAAATCACTTCAAAGTATCCATTCAAGTAAACAAAAACTCATGCTAATTATAAAGACACTTTTAGCTGTTTAAGTAGCTCATAAAGCAGTAGAATTTCTGTATAAACTAACTTGATTGTGAGAGGCTTACTCCTCTGTGTGAGGCCTAAAGTAAAGAGAGTACTTGAAAAAAGCTTTGTTAGAAAGATCCCCCCACCCCCAATAGATCTCCTGCTTGTTCTCACTTGTCCCCTTTCCCAAGATGCAGAGTCCCTGGTGTCTCAGCCACAGCTCAGTATTCTGCTGACTGCTCTCTGCTTTGTGAGTAGGGATTTGTGTCCCTGTTTCTATACAGTCAATTTTTTCCTCAGCTTTTCTTATGCTGTCATTACTGCTAGGAGCTTAGACCTTGCCTCCCTCATTGCAGGGAGGGTTTCAAAACCTGCACTGCTGCCTTCATGCCAGCAGCTTTTCCTCAGCTGTCATTCCACGGTGTGTGTGTGTGTGTGTGTGTGTGTGTGTGTGTGTGTGTGTGTGTGTGTGCTGTCCCTGCTCAGCCCTCTGACTGCACTTTCCTGGGTGCCCTTGCTAGGCTCTAGCCACAGGAGATTTTGGCTAGGGTCCAAAGTATCTGCTGGCTTGAAGGGGAGATAGGACTAGCAGAGAGGATTTGCCCTATTCCAAGAGGTTTCTTGTTTTTTCTAGAGTAATTACAAGTGATTCTCCCATTCTGATAGATGTTCTTTCCAGATGAATGCATTTTTGCTCTTACAGGAAGAAAAAAATCTGAGAAAGAAAGACCTGAAGAGCTTCCAGTATTTTAGAGAGAGATTACTAAGTTTTTCCCAAGAAAGCTTTCAGTTTTTGAGAGAAAGATTACTAAGTTTTTCCCAAGACTTCTGTTCCCTAAACTTTGGCTTCATGGCCAAGAGGAAACTAATTCTAATGGTACAATGTTTTTATACAGTAACAATGTCAGAGGAGTAAAGAGTTTTATTTCACACACATCCACTTCAGGGAAAGTTCTTTCCCTGCCACTCAGGACTCAGATCTAAGTTGTCCACAGGCCAAAAGCTTCCACAGGAAACTTTTTCTGCCCATTTTTCTTATAGTACTTTTTCATGACTCCAATTCCTCTCAGGAGTTTGCGTTCATAGTCCCATAGTTGGAAAATCAAGGACATAGTTCTCTGTCTTGTTGCTTATCTTATCCTAAATTTTTCTTGTACTATATTCCTATATTCTGCCTTATACTTTTTTCCTTTTTATGCTCAGTTTTTTCTACACTGTATTTCTACATTTTACCTTATATTTTTTCTTAATTTTTACAGATAGAAATTAGAGAGAGAGAAAAAAGAAAGAAAGCTTAGATAGATAGATAGATAGATAGATAGATAGATAGATAGATAGATAGATAGATTCGCTGCAGCTCCACTTTTCAACTTTGGCATTCAGCTGCTTTACTTTCACTCTTGAGAATAAAATACCATTGCCTTTATGTTTAATTCATTATCAGGCATGCCCCCTTACACTCATGATGCCCCCCCTCTCCTTTTGCCAAGTCCCTGGTCTCTGTTTGGGCACCACTTGTGGGAGACCAGCTCCCACATTTACAACAGGGTACTCTTGAGGAGAGAGGAATAAGAGATATTAGATAGAAGAATAGAGGGGAGAGAAACAGATAGAAACACAGGATAGCCTCAGGAGGGCCTGGATCAATATCCACCAGCTCCTTTTGTCTCTTCTAAAGGGCTATTTATAGGAATGCCAAGAGGTGGTGCAAAAGATCTCCCCCTAGCTCAGCCAAGTGTAGACCTTTCCAATCACCTAGTAACCATGCACGTGGTCAACCAATCCTCTATTACAGCCCTGCTGGGTAAAGCAAGCTCAGATCTCATTAGAAAACTTTTGTGGGCCGCCACGGGAGTTATTATTGTATGCATTGTCAATATATTCTATAATAATTAATATATTGTGGTAAAATATGTAACATAAACTCTGCCTTCAACAGGTTTGAAAATATAGAAAAATGTCCTGGTCCAAACCTCGCTAGCAGACCTGCAGTTTCTTCATCTTGCACAAATGAAACATTAAGCTGATTGACTAACAATATTTCTTTCCTCTGTCCTCTGGTAGATAGCGTCCTTGTACTCTCTGAGTCTTGGAGAATTTGAGATAATTCATATAAATAGATCCGTGGTTGTTACCCTTGAATGACATATACTTCAGCATCCTTAAGATTTATCAAATCACTGCATTTTGTGAACTTTCCTTTCCTTTAAGGCTGAAAATAGTTTACAGTAAGATGTCACATTTTCCTAATCCTGTTGATGGACATTTAGAGTATTTCTACATTTTGGTCTTTGTGACTAGTGCTGCAATGAACATGAGTGTGTTATTGTGTTATTTCCAATCTTTATTATTATTATTATTATTTTGGCTTTTCAAGAGAAGATTTCTCTGTATAGTCCTGGCTGTCCTGGAACTTGCTCTATAGACCAGGCTGGCCCCAAACTCACAGAGATTCACCTGTCTTGCTCCTTGAATGCTGGGATTACACCTGGTTTTCAATTCTATTAAATTTTTGGGAAATCTTGTTTATTTCTTTAGAGAAGTGTGGGAGCCCACAAGTGACCTAGTTTCCTGGTTTGAATGTGAAGTCTATTCTGAGTCAACAGAGTTCAGACTTGCTTGCACCAGGGTTGTAAGCAAGTCCTGATTAGCACATGGGAAGGACATACTATCTAGATATATGCAGGCTGCTGATGCACATAAGAGGTACATCATGATAGAAAATGAAACTGCCTGCTCCTTGACTCAAGGACAAGATAGATAGTGGGTGAATGTCTGTGTTGTGCATTGTTCTACTTCTGTCCTTAAAGATTATATACAAGCTGGCTGTGAAATAAACTCAGGCACTTTACAGCATTGACTGGCAGTCCTCTCGACTCTGTTCTGCCTTCTTCATGGTCTCTACAATCCACACTCCTCCACCGATATATCCAGTCAACTTGTTGGCATATTTTGACAGAGAAGATAATATTTTACATTCCCACTGTGTACAGGGTTCCATTCTTTTAAACCTTAATACTAACAGTTATTGCCTTTATACTTTTTGGTAATAGCATCCTGACAGATATAATATCTCATTGTGATTTTGGTTAACATTTTTATGGTAAGTGGTGACATTGTGTTTTCATTGTCTATTTGGTTGTTTATATTTCTTTTTGATAGTACTGGGTTTGAACCCAGGTCCTTATTCATGCCAGGGAAGGATTCTAATCTACTAGGCAAGGAACTGATGGTATTATCCAAGTCATTGGCACATTTATTTCTTTTGGTATTTATTGTTATTTTAAATTAGCATGAAATAATGGTTCCATTGTAGTAGCCTCGCACAGTATATGCTTTGTTTATGTTTACCCCATTAAGTTTTCTAGTTCTCCTGGCTTATCTCCACAGCCACTTTCTCACTGAAAAATTTCCCTTTTTGATCTCATACTTTATGCATACATATTTTATGTGTATATATGTATATATTTATGCATATATACATAAATATATGTACATATCCTTGTATATATTTGTGTATACTTATATGCATAAAATGTAGTATGTGTGTACGAGAGAGGCAAACAATATCTGTATCTCTGTGCTTAATCTCTTTCATTTGGGATGATGTTCCTGAATTCCATTCAGTACAAGGTGTAATTTTACAGTTTATGGCTGAATAAAACTTAACCATGCATGTATACCACATTTTCTTTCTCTATTCATCATTTTAAAAATTAATTATTAATTATTTTTATGTGTATGGATGTTCTGTATGCATAGATTTACACTACAGATATGCCTGGTGCCTGAGGAGGTCAGAGGAAGGCATAGGATCCCCTGAAACTGAGATTACAGATGATTGTGAGCTGCTATATAAATGCTGGGAATTGAACCTGGGCCCTCTGCAAGAACAGACAGTGCTGCAAACTTATAAGCCATCCCTCCAACTTCTGTCTTCATTTATCTTTTGATGGGCATCTAGGCTGAGTCTATATTTTGACTATCTGGAATAGTTCAAGGATAGCTTGGATGTGTATATCTCTGCTGTGTGCTGACTTGGGCCTCTCACACACTTGGGTGGTTTATGAAAAATACCAGGAATCACTACGAGTCAACTACACTCTTTCTCTTCTCAACTAAACTTTGCATTTCCTTCTGTCTGATACTAGCAACATGCCCCACTCATTTGACTGGGTTTGCAAGGATGTGGTCAAAAAGCTTCAAGGAAAAGATCTGAATCCTGTCAAATGTCTGTCAGATGCGATGAAGTTCCGCCAGTTTGAGATACTGCAGACAGATCCTCAGTCACTGTTTTGGAAATCTGAAGATACTCCAGTTGGGTATTCCCTTCTGCAGATCTTAGAGCCAAATTGTCCAGTCCCAGGTATGGTCAGCCAAGGGGCAGAGAAGTATAAAACTCAGTATTTTCTTTTTTATTTTTTTTTTTAAAGATTCATTTATTATGCATACAGAAGAGGGTGCCAGATCTCATTACAGATGGTTGTGAGCCACCATGTGGGTGCTGGGAATTCAACTCAGGACCTCTGGAGGAGCAGTCGGTGCTCTTAACCTCTGATCCATCTCCCCAGCCCTAAAACTCAGTATTTTCAGTGGTGCAGCTTTCCAGAACCTATGAGGCCTGCAGACAAGGTAGCTAATGAGCCATCCTGTTTAAAGGCAAAGGACAACGAACGTCCTTTAGGAATTCACTCATTTTCTGGGCCTTTCCTGGCATATAATGCTTCCAAGAGCCTCTTTATATGGAGATATGATACCCATGTTCCAAAAAGTAATTGAGGTTCCTAAAACAACTTGTTCAAAGTCACATAGTTCGAACTGGTAGCACTAGTATCCAGACTGAGGTCAGTCTGTCTTCTGGTCCTAGGTATTCTTTTTCAGCCATCTTCTCCGTGGCTGAAATCTGTTCTTGGAAAGATGATCTCAGGGGATGCCTAGACACTGCACATATGATGCCATTCTTTTTTTAGGATTAAGACTACGTTTTCATTGGTTCTGGAATTTGCCCTCTGTAGTAATTCATATTTCAGATATTAATTATTATTATATACTATACATATAATTATTAGGTAGCTTCTTGACTAAGTTTTAATTGAGGAGGGGAACTGGCCTTGTATTTCCCATTCTCCAGAGCAGCTGTTCCACAGTGAATTCTTGGCTAAACTTCAGTTCCCTTTTCTCTTCAGAGCCTGAAGTGTCAGCTCCCATCCCCCTGAAACACAATCTATCCTGGAAACTAAAGGCTAACGCAGGTGTCAACGCCGCCATTGCAGAAGGAAGTGCATCAACCGGGTTTGGTCAGTCCTGTGGATACGACATCGAGGTCCGGTGTACTAGCATCCCAGATTCAAAACTGGAAAGTCTTCAAAACAGGTGAAAGGATAGGTCAGCAATGTTTCAGGATGTGTTGCTATAGGCAAAGGGGCATCAAGCAGGTTTTATGACAACTCACATTATTCTACTTTTTTTTATAAGTCACTGAAGTAATGGCTTAGCATTCCCTAATAATACTCATTAATACAGTATTACCTTTACTGTTCTATTAATGTGATAGAGACAGAAAAACAAGATACACAGACAAAGGTTCTGATGTGGCAGAAGTTTCTGTTCATTGTATAAAGGATGGGCATGTAGTGAGGAAAGGATCATAGAAGTAAATTGGAAGAATATTGATTAAAATTTGATGAAAACTGTAACAATCACTTTAATACCCCAGCACTTTGGGACTTAGTTGACTTCTAACACATCTCTTTTTTTAACTTTATATTTTTATTTCATTTTTGCAATGAGCCAGTATAACATTATCATGTCCAAAATACAGGTGGAGAAATAGTGATTGAGGGAAGTGAAGTAATTCATCCATCACACAGTCAAGGAGGAATAGAACCACTATTTAAACTCATCTGAGTATCATGCAAAGGCAAACAGTGCTAGCCACTAAGCTGTCTGCTTATGTCATAGAAACATAGTTACGAATTCAGTTGTTTGTATTTAACCACTACACTGAGACAGCTGATGCTGTCAGAGAAAGTTTCCAGTTCACCAAAATGTCAGACTTTCCAACTGTAAAGAGTAAGGCAGTGTCAAATGACATTGTAAACCAAGCATTCTGTATAGTCTGTGGTGCAAACGGTGTCAAAAGATGCCACATACCATAATTGCTACTCAAATATTGCTAAGTTCTTTTCTCTAGAAATTTCCTGAAATTCTATACTTCATATGTAATTTTTTTCAAAGGGCTAAGGTAACACTGTTGAGGATTTATATCACAAATATAGATTGGCCAGTTATTTACAGAGACTTTCAAAAGAGAGGAAACTTTTGGAAACAGGAGGGAACTCAAGTTCAGACAAGCCATTACAATGGTTTTCTACCACATCTCTTTTGAGGTATAATTTAGAAATAGAAATGCAAAATGTGCAGCATTTTGATGTCATATATGTATATAAATATAAGTCAGTAATAGAGTATCACTCCATCTGGTAACCATTATTTCAAATATTTCTTTATTATATTTATTTATATTCTCTCTCTCTCTCTCTCTCTCTCTCTCTCTCTCTCTCTGCATGTGTGTGCATGTGTGTGCACTCTCTTGCCATGGTTTAAATGTGGAAGTCAGAGGACAACTTGCAGGAGTCAGATCTCTTCCTTTGCTGTGTGTCTGAGAATCAAACTGAGGTCAGCACCCACCTCTATGTGCTGAGCTGTCCTGCCAGCTCAGGACCTGTTATTGTTATGACAAGAACATTTACTGTCTACTGTCTTAGCAGAGGTCATGCACATGTAACATGTAGTCAACTATAACCACATTGGGCTGTAATGTGGCTCGTGGAATCTGATTCATGTCCTCATGCTTTTTGGCCAGCACTTTATAGACTGAGCCACATCCCAGCCTGAAGCTGACTCAGTCTATTTAGCTCTTAAAGGCTGATTCATGCTTTCTGTTTGGGATTTCTCTCTCTCTCTCATGATTTGGTCTCTGTCTCTATGATATTAGCCATTTGGATCTTTTCATTCTTATGTTACACCTTCAGGAAACTGCTGGACTGGGAGCCATCATTTTTGAAGAATTGCCGGATGGGAAGGAAGGAACTGTATGTGGTGACAGAGGCCTTTGAAGTGACCAAGGATGCTGTGCTGGAAGACAGTAGCAGTGTAGACCTTTCAGGAAAAGTGGGCATCCCCCAGGTTGTCAAGGTATGGGACAGGGATGTGAAGAAAACATCGAGTGCATCCAGTTCACCCTTGCTTGTCAAAGGTCTCTGGGGACCAGTTTCTAGGGGTCAGAGGGTGAGGTCCTTATTCTTCCCTGCTCGTATATAATGTGTGCTAACTCCTGATCTTAGATTGCATTCTTTTTTTAAACATGATTTTTTATTGATTCTTTGAGAATTTCACATCATGTACCCAAATCTCACTCATTTCCCTGTCCCTCCAAATCTACCCTTCATCTTTGTAGCATCCCCAAAAAGGAAACTTAAAAAGAAATAATAAAGATAAAAAATAAAAAATGAAAAACACAAATACGAATATTAATTAAACAAACAAAACCCCCAAACTAAATTATAAAAATAAAAAATAAAAAACACAAATAAGAATATTAATTAAACAAACAAAAACCACAAACAAAAATGCAAACCAGTCAAACAAAACAACAACAAAAAACCACTTTGCTCTTCTGTCTTTTCTACCTCTAAATCACCTCTTCATTCATCTTGGTGGCATTGGGAGCCATGGTGTGTCATGCAGTACACTCTTTTCTTCAAACAGCTTTACTTGCAAATGTTCATTGTGTAGTGTATTGCTGGTCAGGTTCAAAGCCTCTGGCTTCTGGTACAGCATCAATACTGGCCCCTCACTGAAATTCCTGTCAGAATCCTGCAATTGCCCGGAGTCAGGAGTCATGGAGCTCCTGTGGCTATAGTTCCAAAGGACCAGTTCCTTCATGAGTTCCAGTAGGTCATAGATGAAGTGATGTTGAGGAGTGCCAATTCAGCTCTGGATGTGGGCATGGGTGGTAGCTGAGTTGGTCAATATAGACTATTGGGACCACACTCTTCAGGTAATGTGTGAAGCCAGTTCTCCCACACCCATGGTGAGGGGTGAAACCAGCTTTCCCAAATTTTGGTAGCGGGAGCAGCACTCCCATGATGGGCCAGGTCATGGGGGGCAGGGTCAGCTCTCTGGTGAGGGGGAGCTGGCTCTTCTTGGACCAGTGAGGGGCAGAGTTAGTCATTGAGCTCAGTTGCTTATGTCCTCATTTATAATGCTTTAATACATAGGATTAGCAAATATTGATAAATAAAAAATAGACATAATTGCTTGGTACTATGTTTTGTTTTGAGTAAATGATAGTTTGCTGCAGAAATAGAAATGTGAGGATTCTGTATTATTTGCACACCAAGTTTCATGGCTCGAAAAACATAGGAATACCTCAATTAAACTGCTGCTGTTAATCTATTCTATGATCATTTGATAACAAATATTTTTTGAGATAAGGTCTTAATATAGTCTAGACTGTCTTCAAACTGGCTATGGAGCTGAGGCTGACCCTGAACTCCTGGTCTTCCTGTATCTATTTTTTTCTTTTTTCCTCCTCCTCCTCCTTCTTTTTTTCTGAGTTAGAATTTCTCTGTGGAATAGTCCTGACTGTTCTAGAACTCACTCTGTAGACCAGGCTTGCCTCGAACTCACAGAGATCCACCTGGCTGTGCCTCTTGAGTGCTGGGATTAAAGGTGTTTTGGGATTAAATACCACCACCTGGCTGTTTCCCCTTGCCAAATAATGTGAGATTACAGGTACATCCACTATGCCTGACTTTGATAAGAAGTGTTTGAAGGGGCAAGATTTAAATACCTTTAAGCACATGCAATTTACAAAATCTACTCACCGCAAACAAGCATATTTAAAAATTATCATAAAATTAATTTTTTAGATTAAAAAGGGAATATTACCTATCTCCTCCCTTCTGTATTCCTTAATTGTTTAATTAAATTTATATATAT